CTTCTAAGCATGATTGTGGCCTTGGACCTATATCACTACCTGATCCGCTGGCTGTGTCCGCCCCTCTCAAATCTCAGAGGCAGGCTGGCATCCTGCCTCTACCTCAGAACGCAAGATCTCCTTTCAGAACAATCCACCTAGGAGTTCCATAAGGTTTGGTCATCTCGCCAGCCTTATTCAACCACTTCGTCTTGGATATCTCCGAACCGGTCCCCAATACTTCCTCGTATGCAGACGACCTCACTATTTCCGTGTTGTCCCCAAGGCTCTATGCTGCAGAGACTGACCTTGCTGGACTCATTCAGGGCGTCTCACACTGGTTGGCTGCAAAGAAACTGGCCGTGGCACCGGGCAAGTCCTCCATAACGCTCTTCACCCCAGACACTCACCAATCCCAAACACACCTTTCTGCCATAATCTGCAATGGCATCATCCCCATTGATAAAACTGCCAAAATCTTAGGCGTCACATGGGACATGCACTAGTACATGTTCTCACCATGCGTCAAAGCCGTACCCACTAAAGCGACAGGTTCNTTTACCCAAAAATCCCTAAGTGGTGAACACCACCTTGGCCTGTTGGCCATTATTGGAGGCAATAAGTGCCCTTTTTAGCCATCCATTATGATCCATATACTGTTATTGTTAGTAGGCTAATTGCAACATAAAAAATAACACCTCAAAAATACAAAAAAGCTGAAAAATAAAAAAATCAAATAAATAAAAAAATCATGAAAAAATAAAAAATCATTGATTTTTGATTTTTTTGATTTTTTTTTTGAAAAAATAAAAAAATCACCAACCCTGGAAATAATGTATGAACCTTATTTTTTTAGAATCCTATCTGATAAGGGCCACCCCCCCCCCCTCCAGGGGTAATAAGGGACACCCCTAAAAGAGCATTTACAGTACCTAGAACCTGAGCAAAGGCTCCAGTTACCCAAAAATCAATTAACAACAAAAAATTTTGATTACATTTACCTAGCTCAGCAAAAAAAATTCACTTAACAAAAAATTCATGCACCATAGGTCATCACAAAATTGTGCATGGAATGTCATAAATAGAATTGTGCAATAGGCAACATAGAATGAAAAGTAAGTAATTAACCTAAACTGTGATTTATTATTCCTAAAATACTCCTTTCTGTTTCAGGTATGTTTTCACAAACTTTTTTTGTTATAGTGAATTCACTTGACTCAATTAAAATGATATGAAATTACCATGCATCCTGTGAACTTACAGATACCAAAGAAATGCTAGGTGGCTGCTGATACGAAGCTTGCAGTTGACAAGGCTGGTTTCGGTGCTCAACAGCAATTATGGCATGTCCATGGATATGATAATAACACATCAATAATATGATAATGTATGGATATGGTAATATCATATCAATAAAGGAAAACCAAGTAGAAATCACAGAAAATGTCTTTTATTCTTCATCTACATCATCTACAAAGGAAGTGCAGGACTTCAGAGAATTAAGTACATTTTTGCTTGCTCCAAGCATTTTAAAATTGTGTTTTATTCCAATTGTCCCAGATTTCCCCGTTTCCAGGGGTAATTTGGGACACTTATTTTGTGTCTGGCACCTTACAAATAGCATATGGAATTTTTTGAAGATGCCATTTGAAAGATCTTTAGAAGATGATAGCTCTTGCAAAGAGCTTTTGAATAAGCACAAACTTGTTTATGAAATGTTTCATGGTAAGAAGTTATTAATGAAAAACGCTCAAAACTGTCCCTTATTAACCCGTTTGATGGTATTTATGTCCTAACACTGATTAAAAATAACCTAACACATGCCCAAAATAGCCTGTATTCCTCCTGTGCAACTCGTTTAAACTAGAATCACCTTATTTACAGACATGAGTGATATATCATATTGAAGGTTGTGCGCTGCTCTTGTCTAAGTAAATTTTGCAGGATTCTGACATGGGAACCAACAGCAAACCATAAGCCCTTGCAGACCTGTCTCTTTTGGATGATAGGTGCATATCAGATGATGTTGGCATCATGTAGCCTGGTAAATTCAGATTGGAATTCTGGATAGGTAATATATTCTCACATTCATGTAAGAAAATGGATCAAAAAGCCTACCACGTTACACGTTCCACCGCAAATTCACAGGTGTATTCAAGAACAAATTCTGAAATATTAGCGACATTTCCATTCATGTATTTAATATATGAATGGTAATGTCATAAATACTTAGTAAATCCATTCATGGTCATTCAATTTGTGATGTATGGATGAAAATTTTACCTTTGTTCTCATGATGCTCATTTTTCCAGTCTGCAGCTGTAGAAATATGTGCCTAAGGGCTAAGAGGGCAGACTAAACCATTGAACCGACACATGCATTGGGTAGACCATAGATGCAGAAGTGTTGCATTGCTCTGCCACTGATTGGTCAAAATAACCTTTGCAAATATTGAACATTCAAATCATAAATACCTTTTGCTTACTTGTTTAGGTGCTGGTCCTAAAATTCTGAAACTTTTGAATAATGTTTCTTATATTATTAATCTATTAATAATTTTTGCATCGTATTTATATATCGTCAAACGGGGTAATAAGGGACGGTTTTGAGCATTTTTCCTTGCTAACTTCTTATCATTAAACATTTCATAAACGAGTTTGGGCTCATTTTAAAGGTATTTGCAAGGGCATTTTTTAAAAAATTCCATATGCTATTTGTAAGGTGCCAGACACAAAATAAAAACCTCCTGAACTAAACCTGGGAACAAGGTAATAAGAGACATTTGAAATAAACCTAAATTTTAAAACGTTTGAAGCATACAGAGAGTGCTCATTCATTACTAACAGTTCTCTGAAGTCTTCCTCATCCTTTGTAGATGATGTAGATGTCGAATAAATGAAACTTTCTGTGATTTTTTACTTGTTTTTCCTTTATTGATATGATATAACCTCATCCATACATTACTGTATTATTGATGTGATATTATCTAATCCATGGACATGCCATTGAGCATTGACAACAACCTTGTCCACTGCAAGCTTCATATCAGCAGCCATGTAGCATTTCTTATGTATCTGTAAGCTTACTGGACAGCTTGTAATTTCACGCCATTTTAATTGAGTCAATCGAATTCACTATACAAAAAAAAAAAAAAGATTGCAAAGAACATACCTGAAACACAAAGGAATGTTTTAGTGACAACCATCACATTTTTTAAGTAAAAATCATAGTTTAGGTTAACTAGGTACTTTTCATTCTATTTTCATCTACAATTCTATCTATGACATTCTATGCACAGTTTGGTGATGACTGATGATGCACAAATTTTTTGTCAAATAAAATTTTTTTGCTGAGTGAGGTAAATGTAATCAAAATTCTATGTTGTTAATTGATTTTTTTGTTAACTGGAGCCTTATCTAACCAAGGCTCAACTGTAAATGAGTTTTTATGGGTGTCCCTTATTACCCCATCATAAGGGAATGGCCGCCATTTTTTTCTGAAATGAGATACCTACTCAAATAATGTAAATTATATTATTAAGCCAACACCTGTGTGTAACTTTTATGTAAGTAAAATTTCGGTGAATATTTTTTTGCCAGAGACCTTAGCAGAGGTACTTTTCCAAAATCTCCATTTTCACTCTTTTTTTTAAAGGATTTTTTTTAGAGATAGTAAATGTATGATTTCTTAACTTGCTTTATGCTATATAGACAGGAAAAATGTTGAACTTTATGCCACTACTTTTTGTTTTGCAATATTTTAATTAGTTTAGCCGTTACATTATTTCTATGAAATGTTAGAGGACTGTCCCTTATTATCCCGCCCGGCCCTTATTAGTATCCAGTTTGATGGTATCTATGAAATTAATTATCTGTCTAATTTGTTCATGTATCAAAATATGAATTTTAACTCTAATTTATGTGATTGAAATTTTGAAGGTGTCACTGCTATTAAATTTTAATACACCACATGGCACATGCCTAAGCGCTGCCGCTCAATGATTTATATAATACAATAAATGCCACTTCTAAACAATGAACAGTTTCTAAAAGACATGAGAAATTCAAAAACTTAGGATGGGAGACAATAATTCAGAATTTGAATTGAATTTATTTAGGAAATATTGACAAAATAGAGCAAAAATATAAAAAATTCATATATGCATTCATATCAAGAGGTGTTTAAATTTTGAAACGACTTTCCATCATTGAAATCTCAGTGTGGATCAAATCTATTTGTTGTGAAATTGAATTTGACAATACTGAGACAAGGTGAGGGACACCTCATCATACCTGAATGTTCACATCACAGCACAATGTGCCATATGCCATGCAAGAATTGCAGTTTATCTCATCACTTTGTATGGTTATGAAAACTTTGTTGGTATAATGAAATTGTGAGAATTTTCTGCATAAGTGGACATTATTCATTTTTATTTTAGAACATATTCATTGCAAAAATTTGTCAAATACGTATAAATGACTAGTGAATTTATTTGAGAAAGGCATCACTGTCCTGGAGATTGTGCAATGTCAGAGCCATGGTAGTTTCTGATGAGCTCAGTGTCACGAGTGTCATTGTGGTTGTAGGTGTAAAGGGATATCGATCCATTTGTTATATAAATGCTAGAATATATTACCTATCCATAATTCCACACTGGTAGGTAACGCTTCCAAAGAGTGGAATCATTATTACTTAGTCCATTATTTTTGCTGAGCAAGGTAAATGTAATCAAAATTAATTGGTATTAATTGACTTTTTTGTTAACTGGAACCTTTGCTAACTAAGGTACTACTGAAAATTGGTTTTAGGGGTGTCCNCGCCCCTACAGCTCGGCGCTATCCCAGCTCCGCTCGGGACACTAGTTCCCTGGCGTCCTACAGCTTTAGGGTTGCACGCTTCCCCAGCACTGCCTGCCTGGAGTGCAGGGACCCCCTCTAGTCTGTTCAGCACCTATTTGCCTGCCCCCCACCTTTCCCACGTCCCTCAGCGTCTCCTCATTGTGGGACAGCCTTGTGTAGATGGTGGCGTTCCTGGCCACTTTCCCTGCCTTTGCCTATCTCCCTCCTCTTCTGGTACCTTCCTCGGCCACCACCAAAGCCTCCCCCACAGCGAGCGTGACGGTGCAAGAAACAACAACAATTTAAAGAATTTAATGTGTTTTTGCTCCTAATTTATCATAAAAGTTGTATCCCATAATTTCATGCTTTGTTACAAGTAAATTGCTACCTCACCTGATATAAGAATTTAGAACCTGACAACTCCCATCACATTAATTGCCTACTACTAGTATGTAATGAACTCTATCTGTGAAAAGTTTAGAAAGAGAAATTGACTATAGAATGAAATTATTGCATTACAAATTTATTGGTTGATATTCAACAGTAAGAAGTATTAATTATACAATTTTATAAAATTTAACTGACAATTTCTGTGTCTGTTTCTGTTTTTTACTTCTTTTTCCTTCATTGATATGATATTACTGTATCCATGAACATGCCATTGAGCATTGACAACAAAATTGTCAACTGCAAACTTCATATCAGCAGCCATCTAGCAATTCTTCTGTATCTGTAAGCTTATAGGACAGCTTGTAATATCGCACCATTTTTTACAACACTTCTCTTTAACTTCACTTCTTGTTTGTCTGTCTGTCTGTCTGCTACGAATCTTATAATCAATATTTAACACACTTCTACCTGTCCAATCGATCTGAAATTTGGCACACCTGCATAAAGTTGGAGACAATGCATGAATCAACTGACAATAAATGATTTTGAAAATTAAAAAAAAAATTTTCTCCATATTAAAAAAAATGAAAATAATTTTGTCTGCTACAAATCTTATTATCGATATTTGACACACTTCTACCTGTCTAATCAATCTGAAATTTTGCACACTTGCGTAAAGTTGGAGATAATGCATGAATCAATTGACACTACCTATATATAAATAATTTTATGAATTGAAAATTTTTTTTTCATTATTAAAAAAATTTAAAAAATAATTTCATCTGCTACAAATCTTATAATCCATATATGACACAATTGACCTGTCCAATCGATCTGAAATTTTGCACAATTGCATATAGTCAGACACTGCATGAATCAGTTGACAGAATAAATAATTTTGAAAAATTTACAAAGTTTTGATATCGTATCTTAATAAAATTTTTATTTTTTTTAATATATGAAAATAAAATAAAAAATTCATTGTACATGTGTAACATCCAAGACCTGGAATCTTCAGAAGTGTTGTCTTTAAAAAGTAATTTTTAAATGCCTATTATTATTGGGGTCAAGTGAATTCACCATAACAAAAAAATATTGTAAAAATGTACCTGAAACAGAAAGGAATATTTTAGTGACAACCATAATTTTTTGCAGAAATAAATCATAGTTTAGGTTAATTACTTTTCATTCTATCTTGCCCAGTGATATTATATTATATTTATGACATTCTATGCCCAATTTTGTGATGACTGATGATGCATTAATTTTTTGCTAAGTGATTTTTTTTTGCTGAGCAAGGTAAATGCAATCAAAATTCTTTGTTTTAATTGATTTTTTGTTAACTGGGGCCTTTACTAATCAAGGTTCTACTGTAAATGTGTTTTTAGGGGTGTCCCTTATTATGCCAAGGGATTGTCCCTTATTACCCCGTCTTGTGGAAATTGCCGCCAAATGGATGCAACTCTACTCTTTGCCACTAACTAGGCAGTGCAGCACTGATCTTGTTGGGAATCCGTGGTGCCATTTATTTGTCGAACTTTTGCAATCTTTATTGGACTATGGTGGGAAAATCAGATTAGTTACAACATTGAAATATTTCTACACTGTTTCTAGTACAATAGTGGGTGCACATGCAATATTTTAACATAAAATAAAAATTACATGCATATATCACATTGTGTTTCTAAAGGTGACTGTTCAGTGCAGTTGGACTTACAACTGCATTGTTTGAAGGGTGACTGTTGAGTCATGTTGGTCCTTCAACCATGCAAGTAGGGAATTATGATGTATAATAATTGTGTTTCCATTACTATTCTGTAATTTAGTGCCCTTCTACAATATTTTTCTCACTACTGGTGAGAAACACTAATTCAGTTTACCAATATTATGTCTCCATACACTGGCCAAATGATCACATTATTGAAGTGTACATGTAATATTTTTTGCCTTTCTGGCTCCTTCAAGAGCTTTTGCATAAAAACTTTTTCTTCTCCAAGAAAATGTCTCAGTCTATGTGAACCACATCTTGCTACTCCATTCTCTATTGAATCTAAGGAAGACTCTGGATCAAGAGTCTTCTGATATTGGATACAATATTGGTTTCACCGATACACCTAAAACAAGTTCTGAAAGCAAATTTGAAGAAGAAAATGAATCAATCATGATTAAATAAAAAGAATGGAAGGTGGTGTCTTTGGCCCAACAACCTTGATGTTTTCCCAACATCAAGGATGTTTGGAAAACACAAAATTTATTTAAAAATTTTAATCTTGACTAAGGCATTTTCTGAAACGATACAAAACAAGAGGATGCATTGAGTATGAAAATTGGTTAATGACACAGATGGATTGAGTGGAGAAAAAGCAATAATGCCTTCCGGCAACAACAGTACTCTGAAGTCCTCTTCCTTTGTAGATGATGTAGATGTAGAATAAACTAAATTATTAGTGATTTGTTTTTCAATTACTGATAGTATGATATTACCGTATCCGTGGACGCCATTGTGCATTTACAACAACCTTGCCTACTGCAAGCTTCATATCAGCAGCCATTATGCATTTCTTCTGTATCTGTAAGCTTACAGGAGGGCCTGTAATTTCACATCATTTTAATTGGGTCAAGTGAATTCACTGTAACAAAAGATTGTAAAACATTCATGAAACAGAACGGTATATTTTAATGACAATCATAATATTTTTTGGAGAAATAAATCATAGTTTAGGTTAATTACTTTTCATTCTATGTTTCCAGGTGCACAATTCTATCTATGACATTTTATGCACAATTTTGTGATGACTGATGATGCATTAATTTTTTGTTTAATGAAATTTTTTGCTGAGCAAGGTATAAATGTTATCAAATTTTTTGTTGTTAGATTTTTTGGTTAACTGGAGCCTTTGCTAGCTGAGGTTCTACTTTAAATGTGTTTTTAAGGGTGTCCCTAATTACCCTGGGGGTGTCCCTTTTTGCCCCGTCGGGCAGACATGGCCGCATTTTTTTTAATTAGATACACAAATTTTGTCAATCAAATTTTTAAGAGAACACCTGTGTGCAACTTTTATGTAAGTAAAATTTTTTAATATGGCAAATATTTTTTTTGCCACAGACCTTGGCAGAGGCAGGTACTTTCCTAAAATCTTACTTTTAACACATTTTTGTTTTTTTTTTAACTTCACGCCACTATTTTTAGTTTTGCAATATTTTTATTAGTTTAGCTGCTGCAACATTTCTAATAATTGTGGGATGCAACATTTCTAATAATTGTGCGGGGTAAACTGTGTTCCAGTTTACCCCGCCTGTCCCTTATAACCCTGTTTGATGGTAGATATTGCTCCTAGAATGTCTTTAAAAAATGGAAAAAAAAAATTATTGTCATGTAATTTAAAAAATGAAAAAAATTTTATTGTCATAGTCAAAACTTACATTTGAAAGCTCATATTCCAGTTCTTGAGCATGATAGGGGCTTATACTATAAATGGAATGACAGACAGATGATTGGTGATTGGCAGAGGCATGATTGTGCAGCCTCAAGCACAAACCAGGGTGATTGTGTGCACATGATTGTGTGCCACAAACCACAAACTCCATGAGCCTTTTTTGGAAGGAGATTTTAAATGTCAGAATATGAAAACTTGCCCACTAGAGGTTTCAAATGTGTGAAATAATTGCCTTTCTTATTTGTGGAATAATCGCCTTTCTTATTAAGAATAATTCCTGGCTCACTTTTGTTTTAAACATCTTGAGCTATTTATATTCTTTATTTGATTATTTTAATTTTTATGCAGTCAATCTCTTGCCTTCAGCACTTGAAATCTTGTCTTGAACCACAGATTTTGAACTCTATTCTTTGATGCATCAAAAATAATTCATAAACCAAATATAGTCATGAACCCTCTATATGCATTTTCTGCTCTGTGAGCAATGTACTTCACAAAGCTATTATGTTTAACTAAATGTATCAACAGCATCATGGCACTCGAATGTCTGATATATGCACAGGGGTTAGACAAAATAAGGGAAACGCCTTATGAATACACCATTTATATTTTAGTATGGTGTAGTGGTGTAGGTACACCTTTTGTGGCAACACTACCTTAATTCTCCGAGGCATTGATTCTTACAATTTGTGAATAATTTCCAAAGCAATTTAGCATATTTTTCAATTAAACCCTTTTTTACCCTCTCTCAGTTAGACCCCAGTTTAACCCTCTTTTGGTCTTTTATCAGCGCTCTCCAACGTACACTTGGCTGAGGTAGGAAATAAGGCAAACAATGATTCTTCGTAGAAAGTCACATTTTCCTACTGCTTGAGGGACAAATTCTGAAGGCTTTTAGACCCCTCTAAACGCATTAAATTATTTTTAAACCAGAGTTTTACTAATTGCTGCTCTTCCGTTGTATTCAAATTTTTGCACCTCCTGACAAACAGTTTTTAGGGAAAATGGGTTCTTTAGGTGTCCATTAAGGTCTGATGTAATTTTTACAGCCGTGATCTTCCGATTTTTCGGAACAATTTGATTTAGAGACCGACGGCCTTTCTCAGACGAATTTGACTCTCGGCAAGACCTGTGCTTTGCCGAGGACATTTTTCCCTCCTTTCAAGAGCAGTAATCATGCACTTATGAGACAGTACCTCTTGAAACGTTGATCGTTTGGGAATTTTCTTTCACACTAGCACCGGTCATACTAGCATCAACAATTTAGCATCATTGAAATTCAGAAAAGTTTGCCATTTTATAAGATTATAGTCACAGAAATTTTCTATAAAAAGCTGCAAAGGCTTAAAATACCATTTATCAACAAAATTGAACATTGAAATATGCCACGTTTTTATTGTTTATAATGTGTTCAAAAATTATGATCTCAAAATGTTTGGTGTTTCCCATATTTTATCAACCCCTGTATGTCACATGAACTGAAAAAGGTGCTGAGAAACATGCCTCCTAATAGGTTATTCTTGAAATTAAATGGTTGATACTAGTGTGTCCATTACTTAGGTGATGGTCGGTGGTGGGCACAGCTAACCGAAAAGTTAGTTTTGATAACCGGTAATCCGCTAACTGAAAAGTTAGCTTATATAAGGCTAAACTGATAAATTGCCGAGGAAATTAGCTGAGTTAACCGCTAACTGCTAACTTTTAGTATATCAATTTAGCTTTGGCTTAATTTTTGGGGGGCTTTAAAACTCTGAGAAAAAGACCTAGAGAGCTGAACTTTTAATATGTTGTAGCATTGACAAGGAGCTTCCCAAAAAGGTGTAAGCATGCCAAGTTGACATTAAACATACAGCTTATTGAAAAATAAGAATTATTAATAAATAAAAAACGGTAAAAGCAGGGTTACACACTGCTTTTACTCTGGCTTGCCCTTCATCTCCTTAATGTGATGATTGTTGCCCTTTCAAAGTTGACGTCTGTCAGGATGGCTCTCTTGGCCCTCGAGATGTTCTTGCCTATGGAAAACAGGCGCTCAACTGCAACACTGGATGGGATGACCGTGTTGTGTTTAACAAAAAGGTACATCAACACCTGCTCACCCAACAGGGCAACGTCAGTCGGGACCTCCTTTGAGCTGGCCTCCAGCTAGGTCTTCACTAAGTACTGCTGTAGCAGTACTGCTGTAGCAGTGCTGTTGAAGTGACTTCAGTGACCTGTGACTCCTACACTCCTGGGGCTGAGTGACGCTATTGATGAAATCATCTTCCACATCCTCGTCATTGCTGAAGGTGCTGCTGCCCTCCTCAATGGTCAGGGCTGTCTCCACGGCGGTCTCCCTGGCCTTCTGTACCCTGCTGAGATGCTATGATTATGCTTCTCCAGCCAGAACAGGTGAAACTTATGATGGAAGGCAGTTGCCAGCTGGCACTCCTTGTCTTCTATAGGAGGGGCCCAAACATTTTTGTGATGCCTGCCAGCATTGCGTCTACCAGAGGACTGCAGTACAGGAGGCCTTTGGGCCTGGCCTCCGTCAACTTCATGATAATAGCTGCTGCAGTTGGCAGAAGGCTCCCGAGATAGGCCTGATCCTCTTCCTAGATCTTATCCAAGGTCTTGGCAACATTCTATACGCTTGAGTGTAGAAGACGTAATTGGTTGACGTACATATGTTGACGTAGTCAGTCATTAGTGTGGCACACGGCTAATGATACTTAGCAATAAATATTAACACCCGAATTTTCTATCAGAAGACATTTTTAAAACATTTTTAGCGAACTGTCAGTTAGCGGAACTAAATTTAGCGGAAGCTAATTGGTCCGGATTAGCGGATTGTGCCCATCACTAGACTCACTGATGGTTAATCTCAACGTTACAGGCTAGCCGACAGTGAAAAATATCAGGTCAACAGGTTTATTCTTAGGTTTATTATTTGATCTTCCTTATTGGTGATAATACTATTTACTAACGAAATTGTTCTTTGATCTTCATAACAGAAATTTCGTTAGAAAGATACTTTTCGTTGTTTTCAGCAGTAGTGGGATAATCATGTCAGGCCACCCTGTGCCTATCGTTGTTCAGACGAATGATAGTCTAAAGTTCGAGCTGGACGAAGACGCCCTCAAAAGCATTCTGCTGAATTAACTGAAAATTACCAAAATATTTACGCTTCTAACACACAGCTTAGTATTTTCGCTGTACATGATTCCTCCCCCCTTATCGAGAAGCCAGGGCCTATACTTTCAAAAAAAGTTAAGAGATCGTAAGTTCATCAGCCAATCATTGACGGCCTTTCAAGCCACTCTTTTAAAAACAGTTAAGAGATCGTAAGTTCATCAGCCAATCATTGACGGCCTTTCAAGCAAAATCCACCAATCATAGACAAGAAAATAGAGCGTAAGTCCTTACGTTCACTTAGCAAGTTTTGAAAGTATGGCCCCAGGACTTGAAGAGCTGAGCGATATGTAGTCGCTCGCGAGGTGCGTGTGACTTGTGCTGCCGCACACAATGGGACCGGTAACTTCTTTTAGAACGACTGCAATGTCATGGTTGACAATATTATCGCAACAATATAAATAGATTAATAGTTACATGATTTTTTATTATCTCACAGGGATTTTGAACATACTATACAATGTTTACTTATTTGTATACTTTGGGCGAGTTTTGAAGGGACGAACCGAAACGATACTGTTTTAAGCAGCCGCGCAGTCGATGCGCATGCAGTTGGCTGCATGCCAATCTGCTGGCTTTCTCGTGTTGCCTACAACCACACTGCATGCGTCTATGTATCGTAACGGCGCTGAAAAGCGTCCTTTAACGGCAAGCTCGTGACTGCCTGCAGTTCGGCAGTGAAATGTTCGTGACCGGGCTGCCTATGCACGGCGGTACGGTGATACCTAGTAGCGCCTGAAACGTGATGAGAACAGTATTTCGGCCATGACGGCTATAAAACAGGGTCCGCCATATTTACGGCAACGCATGTTTTTTGTTATTTCTCAATTAAACAAACAAGTGCATTGTTTTTTATTGGATGAGCTAGTAGCCAAGAATTACCTAAACAATTCTCAGACATATTTATTCAATATGACCACCCTTATTTTTTTATACGGCCTCCAATCTACGCGGGAACGCTTCACAGGAGACACGCAGCATTTCTTGAGGGATCAAGTCCCATTCTCGTATCAATTTAGACTTCAAACTATCCAAAGAATTATGAGGTGTTCTGCAGACCCTACTCTCTAAAATAGCCCTCACAGAAAAGTCGAGAGGATTCAAATCAGGGCCTCTTGAGGGCCATTCATTTTTGCTAATGAACGCTGGGATGTGACCCTGAATCCAGTTTTGGGTCATGTTTGAGCCATGTGATGGGACAGAGTCTTGATGAAAACTCCATGGTAAGCCGTTGCAGTGTTTACGGGCCCAAGGTAACAACACAGCTTCCAAAATGTCCGAAATGTATCGCTGACTGTTCAATTTCACTCCTGATAGGGGCAAAAACGAGTGGGCACCTCCCAGTGGCGGTTACCGCGGCTCAATCCATCACGTACATGGGACTTTGACGTCGTGTTGCTGTTCTGGTTGCCACAGATCCATCCTGACTCCAAACTCTGTCATTTTAACGGTTAACGCTTTGTTCAATGTCAAATTTTTTCTCGTCACTGAACACCAAGTTGGGCAGCGTGACATCCTCAATGAGATCCAGAATGTGCTGGCTTCTTTCGAGCCTCATACGTTCATAACGGTCTGCTAGTTCATGCCTTGTTTGCATCTTGTAAGGGGAGGTTTTGAGGTCATATTTGAGGACTCTATACGCATTGATGTCTGACTGACTCCGGCTTCTGCAGCCAATTTTGCGGCTGAGCGACTAGGGTTGCTCCTCAAATTCTTCCTCGTGTTTTTGACCAATTGTTTTGTTCGGACACTTCGTTTCATTCCTTGACCAGGTCGATTGCATGTTTCACCAGTTTCCTTGAATTTTTTACCACCTTCCAAACAGTTTCACGACGAATTTGGAGTTTTTTTTTGCAATGACTGAATTACTCTCGCCCTTTTAATGAAGGTAACAGTTGCATTTCTATCTACTGCCATAAGTAAAAGTAAACTTAGACACTTTAGACTTCTGCAATATAAAATAGATGAATCAATAGATGATATTAAGCTTCATTATAGAAGAAAAGTCTGCTAGAAACTAATATATTTTTATATTGCAAACATCCGTTGTCATAAATATGGCGGACCCTGTAGTCGCATACGTTAGCAGAAATTTTAATCTGAGTTGCTCACTGCTCTCAAAAACTAGATTTAGGTTTCCCGATGTCTCAGTTATTGTTGATGATTCAATTGTCAGTGGTATTTTAACATTAGCGAAGTACATTTCAAATTCATAAGTGCGCTGACGCTCTTCATTTATTCACCAAAATGACACGAAATTTCAAATTAGCGAGTTTTAGAATTTGGAATTTTTCCTATACAGAAGCTACTCTTCCTTGTACGAGACTGGAACTTCCCAACGCGATATCCATACGGCCACCAGGGCGGCAAAACTGTACTCGAGAGAATTTTAACGGTAAGTTGGACACAATATTGGTCGTCAAAAGCTTTGCTTGTGAGCATACTGGTCAGAATGACTTAATTCTGATGTTGCCGTACGTTATTCTGACGACATGGAATGCAATAGATCATTGAGAACAATTAAAAATTGCAAGCAGGTTTTGGCTTCGGCTGATACAATATCGAATTGATAGAATTTCGGTTGCGGCTAGATTGGTAGGGTTCAACATAACAATTCTCAAGAGCATGAATAATGCCTTCCGTGCGTGATACTCAGGTTTCTTGTAGTATTATTGGGGTATTTGATCATTTATTCTGTACTGGCGAAGAGCCGATTTGCGAAGCCCGAGTTTAAAGATTCTATTCTGATAGTGGAACGAATTGAAGCAACATCTTATATATTGTAGCGAATTATTCGGAGAAAGTGTAATTGAAAATGTTTGATTGCATACGATATTTCTACTAATGCTGCACAAAGTGACAAATTACTGATTATCATGAATGCCCTTTTTAATACAAACCCAATTACCAGGTAAACGAAGATCAGGAGCCAGCGCACCAGGATATTAGAGAAGGACTCGGCAAGAGTTTCGAGGAACTGGAGTGCTACCTCATGCCGCACATCGGCATGCGTGCCATCAGGGATGAAGACTTTGATGGTCAACTAAATCGTGAGCTCGCTGGGACAATAGAATTTATGTTGTTAGTAGTAAATTTGTGAACAATTTGATCTGCACAAAATCGCAGCTTCACGTGGGATGGTATTCGAATAGAGGGAAAGTTTTTTAGAACTTAATTTATTCAATCTCAGATATATGCAGATTTTAAATTGTAAGTTTGAGTAAAGACCAGAGCAAGTTTTTCATTACCAATCTTATTCGATTTTTTCAATGAGTCGAATAAAATTTCTAGCTGGCGCCAGGAGATCAAAAAGCAGGTTTTTCCAAATGACATTTTAATGGATTGTGACGTTTCGAAAATACAATTTTCATTATCAAGGTGGTGAAGTTTTGCAACATTTGAAATTGAATTTTGGAAATGACACTAGTACAAATCAAAGGTATTGTGTATACAATTTGAAATCTAATCTTAAAATTAATCTGAAAATAATTTCAGCGTCCGGACGAATCATTATCAAGAAAGAGTGAGTCTCCAGCTACCAACCTTCAGTTATTTGTCCGGACGCTGAAATTATTTTCAGAGTAATTTTAAGCTAATATTTCAAGTTGTATCCACTATACCATTGATATGTTCCACTGTCATTTTTCAAAGTTCAATTTCAAGTGTTGCAAAATTTTACCAGCTTTATAATGAAAACTGTAATTTTGAAACATCGCAATCCCTTAAAATGTCATTTGGTAACCTGCTTTTTGATCTCCTGGCGCCAGCAAGAAATTTTGTTCGACTAATTGAAAAAAAACGAATAAGAAGATTATTAATAAAAATCATGCTCTGGTTTTTAATCAAACTTGCATAAAAAAAGTTCTGCCGCTTTACACCAATTTTTAACTATGTATATTAAATTAGAAAATTTATATTTTACGATGAAAAAATTTTCCTGAACTTCATTTCTTGTATTCTTAGTATCATTGAAAAGTGGAGAATTTATGTTGAGACCTCAGATTACCGTTACGTAGCTCCAAATGTTGCCGGCCTTCTTGTGTTGGAGTGCGTCTGTGGTTGGAGTGCGTCCCGTCATGGGACCAAATCGGCAATCACCAAATCCCCGCCTTCCGAAAGGGAGGCCCGAAGCCGGTTTTTTGGCCGGGCCGGCCAAAAAACCCGTGTGCTGCTGCAACACCGCCCCGGACCCCCGCGTGCTGCTGGCGGTGTTGCTGCTGAGATCGGGGGATGTTCAAGCTAGCCCGGGACCGGTGTGGGTGTGTCAGATCTGTGGCGGCCGATCACAAAGCGACAGACGTCCTTCCGATGCAATTCACAATCAGTACACTGGATTCATAAAAAATGCACCACAATCAAAATAGCAGACTACATCAACAACTGGATTTGCAGGCTTCACACAGTACTTCCAATTACCACAAACCCACATATTCAACCAAACATACCTCAGCAAAACAACTCAGCACAACCTCCCCAACGACCCACTCAACAACTACAGTCATTAGTTCCACCAAGCACTTCAAACCAAGACCAACCACAACAACTCCAACCAAAAAACAGATGAAACAGCCGAAACACCCTCAAAGCTCTCCAAATAAACATAAACACACTATCAAACAAAATAGATGAACTAGCCCTACTTGCCAAACAACATTAAATAGACATTATCACTGTACAAGAAACAAAACTCAGACCCACAACACGAACACCAACAATTGCAGGTTTCACAACCATAAGAGTAGACAGAATACGCAAATATGGTGGCGGTCTACTAACTTACATCAAAAATAACATTACCTTTTCCACCATTCAAATCCCACCTAACATAAACCAAGCTGCTACAGAACTTCAAATCTCTCAAGTCCACTTATCCAATAATAAGTCAATTTACATAGCAAACCTATACATTCCCCCTAGAGACACCAATCATCCATTACACAACCAAATAGATCAACTCATAACCGAATGCTTAATCCACATCACCAATAAGCCAAACACAATTATCACAGGAGACATTAACGCCCACCACAACTCTTGGCACTCACCTTACAATGACCAGAGAGGCATACTAATAGAAGACATCATACAGAATTCAAACCACATTATCCTCAACCAAAATTCACCTACTCGTCTACCCACCACAAACAATGAACAACCTACCTCTCCTGACATTTCCACAGCCTCTGAAACTATAGTAAACAACATTACCTGGAATAATCTGACAGAACTTTCATCTGACCACCTACCTATAGTACTAGATTAAAGAACAAAAACAAACTTTCGACCACGACACCGAACAAAAACATACACTAACTACCACAAAGCCGACTGGGCCTCATTTTCAACTGAAATAGAATCAGCACTAGAAAACATAGCAGACCTAACTGACATACACGTCGCAAACAAAACCCTCACAAACATCATAATCCGAGCGGACAAACACAACATTCCAAAAGGCAAAATAAAAACAAAACAACCGCCTATTCCAGACAACATAAGAGCTCTCATAACTCAAAGAAATCAAATCAGAACCGCAAATCACACAGACCCGCAAATACTTCAGTTAAGCAGAGAAATTGACAGAGCCATAGAAGACCATAAAACAAATATTTGGAGAGAACACTTGGAGCAACACTGGGACAACAAACACAATAACCATATACTCTGGAAAACAATACATCAACTATCAAACAAAACCATTCCCTCTCAACCAAACAAATCCATCAGATTCCCAAATAAAATAAAACACATACTTCCAAAGACAAAGTGTAATTCTTCACCAACCAATTCATAAACATAACAAAACATCAAACCTGTCCTCACTACAGAAAAATAGATAGCAAAATCAAAAACTTATGAAAAAATCAGATGGCCATTACAACAGATATTACCACTTCTGCAATTAAAAATAGCAAGAACAACAAATCCACAGGCCCTGATTACATTAACATTCAACACCTAAAACACCTCGGACCCATCGCAATATCATACCTTACCAAAATATATAACATAGCAATAAACAAAAACATCATCCCACACACTTGGAAACAAGCCAAGATCATACCCATACCCAAACCCAACAAAGACACATCCCTAGGTTCTTCTTACAGACCAATATCACTCCTCAGCCCAATCTCCAAAACATTAGAAAAAATCATACTCAACATCATTCAACCTCTCATTCCACAAATAGCTCACCAACATGGTTTCAAGGGAAATCACTCCACAGTCACAGCCCTACACTCACTTACCCAACACATTACCCGCGGATTCAATCAGAAACAACCACCTTCACGAACCATCACAATAGCACTAGACATGTCCAAAGCATTCGACACAGTAAACCTACACAAGTTAATAGACAAACTCTCAAATATTCAAATTCCACCAACATTAACC